TTATTTATTTCTTATGGTGGAACAACATGTTGTACAAGAGGCACTAATACCTGACCCATTTTAAGTACATTTGAGCCCAACCCATTTGAACCCAAACTAAACTTGGACGGGTCAGAGCCTAATCCAATATCTATTTCAATTCATTTTAGTATCTACAATTTCAACTCAACTAGTCCAATTGACACCCCTGAGATGTATAGTGATGTTAGAGGGATAGATCTACACACCACTTGTAATATCTCGCAATTTGAAATAATTAGGAAGAAGCTAATAATTGAATATAGTCATTTTTGGAAAGAATGAAAATATGGAAATTTTGTTAAGTTAGAATAAGTTGAATTTTGGCCAACTTCAAACCGCCATAACTTCTAGCTCAGGATGAGTTAGAGGCACTTCCAGATATGGTAGGAAAGCTCTTGGAATGACCTTTCCAACGCCACTGAGTTTACGCGTTTCTGAGTTTGTGTGAGTGAGTTATGCCCTTTGGAAGTTGGGCTGTTGGAATAAGGAAAGTCCAATCCGGATTTTGAAAGGGTAGTTTGGTCTTTTCTTTGCCCAATTATTTTATTTAGTTTTTGGTAATTAAGTTAGGGTCTAATCAGAATTAGATCAGTTTACGCTTTTACCAAAATACGCTAGGGCTTGGAGAAAAGAGCAAAGAAGAGGAGAAAGGAGAAGAGAAGCAAGATTCATCAAGATCGTCGAGTTTAGAGGGTTTAGAGTTGAAAAACGAAGGATGAATTTCGTAAAAATCTGGGTAAGGGGGTTGGGGCGCCGCACCTCTCAGCGCGCCCCAAAATAGTCTCTGAAGTTTGGGTCTTGGGACGCTGCGCCAGCCAGAGCGCCCCACCCAACTCTCTGAAGTTTCAAGGTTAGCGCTCCGCGCCTCTCAGAGCACCACGAACGCCAGTTCTTCCCATTCGTCCCCCATCTTCCGTACTAGTTTCTTAGCAATGTACCTATGTTTTCTAGCTAGTTGACTCCAACACTCTTAGGTACATCTAAACATCATGAAATCATCCATAAACATGAGATCATGAACCTTGAATCCATAATCTAATTCAAGGAAAGTTAAGATCAAAGTCAAGAGAAGTTCTTAGAGTTTTCCAAAAGTATTTTCCAAATTTTTAACTTTGTTTTAAGACTTAAAGTTCAATTGAGTAAAGAATAAAAAGTAAAGTTTGAAGTTCATTTCTTCAAAGGTATATGGGGGCTATGTATTCCCAAAGGGTTTAAAATATTTTTCACATTTAAACAAGAATGGAAACCTCAATTTCCAAAGAGCCTTTGGGCTAGTTTTCAGAAAAGAGTAATCGCTTTCTAAATGAAGCAAGAGAGGAAACTTTGATTTACAAGATAGCCATTGAGCTAAGTTTTTGAGCACTAATCTCAAATCACAGAAAGAAGTATGTTTTTAAACATAAAAGCTAATATTATAATGTAGCCATCATGGGTAGAAAAATGTCATACTTTTTAAATGATTCATTTAGTACTTTTTAGCATAGACTAGTGGATCCACTTAGTAGTTCAGGTTCTATACCCCCGGCAAGGTATAGGATGACCCTGGCAGCGTGAGACAAAATGCTGTATCATCACAATAGCTCTTACGTGATGGTTGTCGGTTAGAGAAATTCCCACAGAAGTAATTGTATTCTTAAATACACAGTTTATTTGTATATTTACATATATCTCAGAGTTATATGTATCTTTGCATAAACACAGAGTTGACATAATCTTTTAAACATTTTTTCTTTATATTGCACTTGTTTTAAACTGCTTTATATTGAAATGAGTTCAGTTATGTTGAATTGAGTTGAGCCAGGTAAGTTCTTCAGATTTCTTTCAAGCCTATGTTGTGTTTAGCATTCCAACTCGCATACTCGTACATTCAATGTACTGATGCCAGTTGGCCTGCATCTTATTATGATGCAAACACATGTAACTAGGATCGACATCCAGTGCATCGTAGATCTAGTGAGCACTCCAGAGTTAGTTGATGAGCCTCCTTGCATTCTGGAGGACTCATTTTTATTGTTTTCAGTTATTTTATTAGTTCATTAGGATGTCGTAGGGTTTGTCCCGACATCCATCTCAGTTGTTTTAGAAGCTTTATAAATAGTCAGATGTTAGTTTTTTAGTCTTTTCATTGTCATTATCTTATGTTAAGACTTGAGTTTACCTTAATGGCCAAGTTGAATGTTCCATTATAACATTCCAGTTTATTACATTCGCTTGGGGGCCAACAATGGTTCTCGAGTGCTAGTCCTACCCAAGGTGTAGGCTCGAGGCATAACAAACTTGGTATCAGAGCCCAGAGTTCAAGAGTCCTAGGGAGTCTATGAAGTCTTGTCTGTAGAGTCCTAGTTATAGATGTGAAGCGCGCCACATCTATAATTAGGAGGCTGTAACATTTAGGAAAATTTCTCACTTTTTTCACACTTATTTCGTGCGTTAGAGTTTGATCTTTAAAAAGTTTCCTTCTAATTTGTGCTTGCGCGTGTTTCAGAAAATCATGCCTCCACGAAGAGCAGTCAGAGGTCGTCCGGCTAGGAGAAATATTGAACCACACGAACAAGGGGTACCTAATGCACCTGAAGTGCAACCCCAAGGAAAGGTCACCAATGCTGAGTTTTGGGAGGCTATCCAGATGTTGAGCCAAGTTGTGACCAACCAAGTTGTGCAGCAGAGAGGGAATCGATAGGAAGTAGCTGACACTTCGAAAATCTGAGAGTTCTTGAGGATGAATCCTCTAAGTTTCACAGGTTCGAGCACTACAGAGGATCCGGAGATTTTATTGAAGAATTGAAGACGGTATTTGAGGTTATGCATGTTGCCGATTGTTGACACTCAATTTTGGCCTAACATTTTCAAAATTCGTAACTTTTAAGTTTTATTCATTTAATAGTTAAAATACATTTTTTTATAATTTTAAATAAGTTTATCGATAGCTATCCTCATTTGTCAAAATTTAGGATTCTTTGTCAGTTAATTTTAATTACATTATTTTTTGTCACAGTCGTTTGAATACGTTTAAATATTTATTCATTTTGATTAAATCATTAGTTTTGTTAAATTGCATTTTTACATGTCATTAGTTACATTCATTACATTTTTTAATATTTATTTTATTCGTTACATTTGTTAATATATTCATTTTGATATTTTGTATAGTCTAGAAATTCATTCAAATATGGATAAGATTTCATACATAGATATTTTATTAACTAGTGGTTTCGGCCCATGGTTTTTAGATAGTGATATTGTACTATAGGTGGTTTTTAATTTTCTATTTAACATATTTCTTAATCATTAAGTCAAGGGTGGTGAAATAAAAATTAGGGTTGGTGTATAATTTTCAGATGAGTAAGGGTATATTTTTCCCTTTTTGAGCCGCCAAGGTCTCACGACCACCACCAAAGCTACCATCAAACAACCATCTCAAAACTGCCAACAAACAACCACCGTTCCTCCACCTCAACCGGCCAAACTACCCCTATTTTCCCCTTCTTCTCCGACCCAACACCACCAGTAACCGAGAAAAACAAACCCAAAAAACCCACCAGATCTCCCCTCAAATCACCACCTCCGCTCACTCATTAATCTTTGCTCGAGTTCTGCCATTAATGGCGAACTCCGAGCTCCCATCGTCCCATTTTCCCCTCTTACCCGCTACAAAAAAACCCACATCACAACATCAAACACATTCCAGCGAGTCACCTACTACTTGAATCAGAACTCAAAGCTCGAAGCAGCAAGCAGACCCATATCGCAACACCAATAAGCAACGAACCCCAACCTTCATCATTACTAGAACTTCACAAATCGTAGCTACGGTGAATTTTCTCCCCCTTTCTCTTCCTCATCAATGTGCAGGTACACATAGTTGCTTCCTATTGAAGCTATTCGAATGAGGTTCGAATTATAATCTTGATTCATTATTGTATATTATTGACGTTAGACAAACTTAGGCCGATTCTCAAATTATTGTTTTATGTTATTATATGTTATTACTTGTGTATATTACACGCTTATTATTCTTGTATATTTATTTTTATCTCTTCCTCAATTTGAAAAAATGAATTGAATCGGGAACTACAATTGTGGATTTCAAAGGATGCCTATCACCTTCCCTTCGAAATAACTTGAAGCCCCTTACCTTCCCTTCTTCTTCTTCTTATTCTCTTCTTTTCTTCTTTTCAGTTTTTCTCTACTTCAGTTGCTTTTTCTTTAGTCACTATGCTCTATTTTCCAGTGGTAGTGAACAGTGATATTTTGTTGCTCACTGCTCTGCGCCTCTGCCTATATTTCTTTAAAAAAAATTTAATCCTTCTATAATTATTTCTTCCCTACTTAATTTAGTTTTATACTAATTAATATAGAGTTTATTTGTCCATAAGTAGTGAATTCAATGACGTTAGATGCTAATACATTGGATGGAATTATCGTATTCAAGGATCATCAAAATATTCAATTGTATGTGATTTTTGTAATGGTACTTTGAATGGTGGTATTACTCAATACAAGCAATATTTAGTGGGTTGTTATAAAAATGTAAAACAATGTCCAACTTGTCTATCGGATATTAGAGATGAAATAAGGGTTTATATGGAAAATAAAATTGCTAGTAATCCGAAATTTCAAGTGAGGAAGCCAGAAGAATATGTTAATATTGATGATGATATGGATAAATATGTTGAAATGATGCCTCCCTCCAAAACTCAAAAGATGTCTTTTAGTGGGGTGCATCATCCACATTGAGGAACGTGATGAAACGCCCTATGAATATCTATTCTCCACAAAAATCACAACAAAAAGGAGCAGAAATTGAAAGTCAGGATAGATTCCACTCTCAGTTAGTACGTACCTTTTTTTTAAAGCAAGAACTCTTAATCGTCCGTATGATCCTGAATGAAGCCTCCTACATTCCATGAAGTTAGTGTTACTCTCCTAAAAAAAGTGGTGAAAAAAGTGGAAAAAATTGTTGATGAGCATAAACTGCAATGGACAAAGTTTGGATGTTCCATTATGATGGCAAATGGACGGCACAAAATGATAAAATGATCATCAATATTTTGGTGAATTCTCCAATCGGTAGTGTATTTCTTGGTTCTGTTAATGCTAGCAATGAATCTATCGATTCCACCAAAATGTACAACTTGTTTGAAAGAACTATTGAAAGAATTGGATCGAAAATTATTGTAAAAATTGTCACCGATAATGCTAAAGCGGGAAGCATGATGATGGATGTGTACCCATACATTTATTGGACTTCATGTGCTGCTCATTGCATCAACTTGGTATTTGGTGACATATTCAAGATTAAGCCATATGCTTCCGCTAATATCACTCTCATATCCTCTAACTTTCTTTATAGTCAATATTTAATACTCATTAGCTACTAATTATATAATATTACTTTAACAGTTTTTAAGAAGGCCATCAAAATCCATTCTTACATTAGTCAAAGGTCATTGTTGTTAAACTTTTCTTTGGTGAAATTGGCCAAGACACGATTTGCAACGACCTTCTTAACTTTGAGAGCTATGTACATACAAAAGAAAAACCTGACAATTCTAGTTCTCTCAACCGAATGAACTTCAAATAAATTTGGAAACTTTGGGGAAAGAAGTTGTCAACCTTCTTATTTCTGCCAAGTTTTGTAGTGATGTTGTTCGGGCACTTACAATTTGTGGCCCTTTGACAATAGTGCTTCATTTGGTGGATGGGGAGAAAAAACCACCAATGAGCTATATTTACGAAGCAATGGATAAATCTAAAGAAACTATTGAGTGGGGTTTTCCTAGAGTTAAGAAGCAATATGAGAAAGTGTTTGAAATTATTGATGCAAGGTGATCAAACCAACTCCATCGATCTTTGCATGTTGTAGGCCATATTTTGAACCCAGGATTATTTTATAAAGCTCAAGAAGAGGGAACTTTACTAGCTATTCTGTGGGAGGAGTATCATGCATGTGGTTGAGAAGATGAACCCCGATATAGCAATACAAGATTTACTAGTTGCTGAGCTTCCTAAATACAAAATGACGAATGGACTATTTGGTTGTGATCAGGCTAAAAGGCCAAAGACACAAGGTCACCGGTAAGTGAGTTGATTTAGCTCTTACTTAAATTATTTCACTTATTTATACTCATTAACCTTTAAGTTTATTTTATTATAATTGAATGGTGGTCACTATTTGGTTGTCAAACACCAAACTTGCAAAAGTTTTCCATGAAAGTATTAAGCCTAAATTGTAGATCATCCGGATATGAGCGAAATTGGAGTGTGTTTGAACACGTTAGAAAAATATTTTATATCCTAATTTTCATATTATATTATTATTAGTATCTATTTGTTAATAACTTAATATATATAACTTATGCGCATATTCATTCCTAAAAGAGGAATATGTTTGCATTATCGTGTCTCAATAATCTAGTGTACGTTACATACAATATAACTTAAAACGTCGTTATGATGCTCGTGATAACATTGATCCAAGTCTCTTGGATAATATTGATGATTCAAATGAATGGTTAGTTGGAGTCCTCGAAGATCAAGAAGTTGAATTAGTATATGAGGAAGGTGATCTTACTTAGGTAGTGTTGCTATGAAAGTTGGAGCTGACGAGAGTATCTATCATCTTAGGGGACTTTCTTCAAGATCAAGAGCACTTGACAACGGCAAAGGAGTACAAACTACATCTATAAATTCAACTTCAAGTAGGACTCAGACACTAATTGATTAAGAATCTGAGGAGGACGAAGATGGGGAGCAATATAATCATGATGTAAAGGATGTTAATCTTCAAGAGTTGGATAGTTTTGAAGAAGAATAGACTTTTAGAGTTCTAGTATTGCTTGTCAATTGTCTTTTGAATTCTTGAGTCTTTAAAGTTCTAGACTTTTAGTATCTACTATTAGTTTTTGAATTGAAATATTTGCTAGTATATGTTATTGCTATTAAGATTTTGGATATTTATATATGCAATTAAAATTATTTTTTTTGGTATTAATTAACGCCTTCATTCAAAAAGGCGAGCGGCGAGTCTCGTGGCGAGGCAGGCCCTTGTTGCCTTTCGCCGTCCAAAACACTGCTTAAGGAGAATAAAAATATACGCAAAGAGTTGGAGGCGCATAAGCATGCAAAATATGAGATGAAGGTAATCATCATTTCCTTGGAGTGTTGGCTGATGAATGCATTAAATACAATTGAAACCATGAAGGCAGAGATGGAAGTGCTCAAGAGAGAAATTGAAATTGAAGGATCTACGACTTACAATGGAGACAGGGAGGTTAATATTAAGCCTCCCACCGATGTTCAGAGGCGCTCGTGACACACAAGAGGTGGAAATTTTCTTTTGGCACTTGGAGAATTACTTAAAGTGTAACAAAGTGAAGAGCGATGAGAACAAGATCAACACTGTCATGCTGTACCTCTCGGAGATGGCCTTGCTTTGGTGGAAGCGAGAGGAGTTTGAGATAGGGATGGGAGCAATTCCAAGTAGAGTTCAAGAAGGCTTTCTTCCCCAACAACGCCATCTATGAGGCAAAGCATAAGTTTAAGGAGTTGAAGCAGACATGCATCATACAAACATATGTGAAGGAATTCACCACTCTCACGCTTCAGATTTTCAACCTGACAGATGAAGATATATATGTTGTTCCACTTCATGGATGGGAGTCCGGAGACAAAAGGGTAAAAAAAAATTGTCAAACATTCCAATAGGGCAAAAAAAATTGATTTTAGAACCAAAAGGTCAATATTATAACGATTGAATTAACATCGTCTAAATTAGGGTGGCCGCCGCAAGGCGCAGAAACCAATGCGTCTTACAAGCCTACCGCCTTGCGTCTTAGAAGATGCAGACAGCTTACGCCTTGCGTCTTAGACGACGCAGACGGCTTACGCCTTGCAAGGCACAGGAAAATGGCGACTTACTGCAAATTAAAAAAAATTATTTCATACAATCACAAAAAAAATTATTTCATGCCGCCACTACAAAAGTTTCTTCAAAAACAAATGGCTGCCACTATGTGTAGATTAAAGGAAAAATTGTATATAATAGCAAACTATTAATTCAAATTAAATGTTATAAATATACTTTAATTTAATTGTACCCTATAGCAAACTATTGCTATTTTCGCCACTCTCCCTGGTGAAATCTCGCTCGCCACTCTCGTTTGGTGGCAGTCTCGCTCGCCCTCTCTCGCTTTTATACAAACACAAATGTATAAAATGTGTTTGTGTTTGTATAAAGCGAGAGGAAATTATATATATACATATATTTTCATTTCCCTCTCCCAGATCTCGCTCGCCACTCTCCCAAATCTCGCTCGCCACCCTCGCCTTTCTCGCTTATACAAACAGAAACGAAATGTATAAATTGTGCTTTTGTTTGTATAAAGCGAGAGAAAATTGTATATATACACATGCAAATACATATATCTTTGTCCTATGCACTAATAATTATACAATACAAATATTTTCCTGCCCAACTTTCTTTTGCCTTTCTCTCTTTCTCGTTTTATACATACACAGATTATACAATTAATCTTTTGTATATGTATAGCGAATTATACAACTGTCTTCTTTGTATATGTATAGCGAATTATACAACTGTTTTTTTTGTATATGTATAGCGAATTATACATATATATGTTTGATATGGAGCGCAATTATGCAAACTTTGCTATATCATACAAATATGAATTTTGTGTTACTATATGTGAAAGTTGCTCTAGATTAAACTTTGTTCAGTTCAGTTGTTGAGATTTTCCTCTTCTTTGTGTTGTTGGTAAATTCACGTGATTCAGATTTTAATCACCGCTAAATCCAACCAAAAGATAATTATTTTTAAAAAAAATTAATCTCTATAAATTATGGAAATTTGATAGTAAATTGGACTCTTTTTTTTTCAAAATTTGGAGAGAAATGGTTTAAGCAAGTATTTATGGGATGCATTTTGATAAAGGAAGTTTAAGAACAAAATGTTGTGATTGAATTAAATACTTACTTGTGATTGTATGAAATAATTTTTAAAAAAAAATTGCAACAAGTCGCCATTTTACTGCACCTTGCAAGGCGTAAGGCGGTTGAGCCTTGTAAGGTGCATGGGTTATCACGCCTTTCCATGACCTCCTAATTTAGACGACGTTAATTCAACCGTTACAATGTTGACCTTTTGGTTCTAAAATCAATTTTGTTGACCTTTTGGAATTTTTGATAATTTTTTTTTACCCTTTTGGCTTCGGACTCTCATGGATGGGCTGTCAAAATTGGGCCAGGACCGAGTTGAAGCGCCAACAAGTTAGGGCTATCGATGAAGTCATGATCACGTAGACCGAAGTTTTGACAGACTTTAAGCATGATAAAGGAAGAAGAGAAGAGATGAGAGGTAGTCATGACCAAGGTGGGGGAGATCATGGAAAAAGAAAAGAGCAACAATCAAATCGCAAGAATCATGACACATATAAGTCTTATTGCAAGAAGTTTGGACGTCTATGTGATGCTGGCAAGAAGACATAGACTACAAAGGAAAACAATTTCTACATATGCGATGGGCCGCATTGCTATGCAAGATGCCTTGAACTGAATAACCTAGACACATATTACGAAAATGGAAGAAGAAAGATACACAAAGACCTGGGCAAGATTTGGGTATGACGCAGTTGGGACTGATTGAACTATACAGATCTATCGCAAATCAATCATAGAAGTCAAAAGAATATGGTGCACAATATGTAGACATCACGATCAGTGGAAGACCAGCTCGTGTTATGGTCAACACAGGTGCAGAGGCCAACATCATGACCAAGACCGCAACAACAAAGTTGGGGTTCTGTTATAATCGAAGTAACACCCACCTCAAGACAGTCATTGTACCACCGACTTCCGTGCACGGGGTCACTCAGGGATTAAGCATCACGCTAGGCAAGTAGCAAGGTAAAACCAACTTTATTGTCGCTCCTTTTAGATATCTTTGACATAATTCTTGGGCAAGAGTTTTTCCAGAAATGTCCTACGGTGATTGATCTTTACCTCCAATGACTCTTGGCCATGGAGAAAGAAAGATCACATATGGTGCCCCTAATTAAAGTATCAAATACAGAAGGACGAGCTCAACTATCAGTCATGCAACTCATGACGGGCCTTAAGAATGGGGAGCCAAAGTCACCATTGAGAATGTGACTAAAAATAATAGTGTTAGAGCGACTTTACCACCATGTACAAAGAAAGTTCTAAAAGAGAATAAAGACATAATGTCTGAGGAGTTACACAAGGGCATTGATCGAATCAATGTTCTACTGGCAGCGCATGCAAGAAGACAAGATTTGGTTGTTCATAGAGAAACAACGCGCTGCGATCGTCGCAACATCAGGTGGGGGAGAGTGTCATGACCCACCACGTATGCGCCATGTGACATAAAGTTGTCCATTTGAAAGCATAAGTATGCTAGCATATATGGAAAGATTCTAGATCCATGAAGAACTTCTTGGAAAGAATCTAGAATATCTAGGAAGAATTCTTGTAAAGCCTTAGAATATTCTAGGAATGTAGAGAATTCTGAAAGAATGGTTTATTTGTAAAATATGTAGGGACTTATGTAACAATTATTATTAACACTTTAGCCTCTAAGTTAGTAGTATAAATACAAAGGCATCTATTTGTAAATCAACCAAGCAAGAAACAAGCATTCTTCAAGCAATACAAAAGCCTCCTTATAAACTCTCTTGTATCTTCATTTTCTTAGCGATTTAAGTTTGAAAAGACGTTATAAAATCGTGAAAGAATCGCGAGTAAGTTGTCGAGTGCCGCACGGAGTGTTAGCTAAAGTCTAAGTCCGTGACACCACCCCTATATGTGCCTTGGAAAAGTATTTGACTTCTCTATTAGATGCAGCTCTAGTTGTACTGCTGTCCTCAATTCTAACACACTCTTTTGAGTTACTGTCAACTATGCAAGGTAATCCCTTATTCTCAATCCACGCCAGAATGTAAAATAATTCTATCTCAAACAATCACATCCCTTTCTCAATTTTAAGTTGTTTCAAGATATTCAAATTTCGGCTGCCTTTTAATACGGAAATAAAATTTGAAGAAAATTGCTAGTAGCTAAATCACGAAAAATTCTAAAGGACAGGTACCTTAAATATGTATGTACGTTATCCTGTAAACAATAGAAGAATATTAGCTGACACAACTAATAATATTTATATGTGGAATGCAGTCATTGAACATTGTACTTTAAGGTTCGAGTGAAGCTTTTCTATTGATTGGTGTATCACCTTTGTTACCAATAAATGAGTAATAATTTTAACACAATTATAAAGGATTGGATTCCAAATATACCAAAAACAATATACTGATATTGTTGTTCCCCAAGCTTTTCATATTTTATTTAGTCTTGACTTTCAAGTACTTCTATTTTCATACATATACGTTTCCTGATCATATATTAGGAACACTTAAAACATTACTGGGTCTAGTGCTTCATACAATTTTCTTGACTTTCTTTACTGTCTTCGTTTAGTTCCTTGTTTGATTGCTAATAATTGAATCTGATGAGTAAAATCAAGAGACATGTCTTTGACTTCATTACAAATTCAATTGTACTGTTTTCTCGATAAATACGTAATTCACAGTTCAAGACATGGTGGGAAAATTTTATGTGACATCCTAGCATAGAATAAGAGTCTCACATCAGCAAAATACAGAAATGTCAGATATATAAGTAAACAGGTCTTACATATATCTTAGTAACACGTTAAAGTCAGGTAGATTTAGGCCTAGAACAATCAATATTACTAATAGATTGGACCAATATTTTACTTGTATAAATTAAACTCAATGACATTGTTTTGAAGTTTCACATATATAAATTCCATGATAAAATAATTTCATATGTGGTAATCTGAAAATAATAAAGTAAATATATAGGTAATATGTGGAATTAAGAGGTAATTTCAGTTCAAATATACAAAGAAAACTATAAGAGTGTAATTTCATGGATAGTGCCTAAAATAATAAGGTAATTTACAACATGAACTTCAACTTATTCAATCCATGCTATGCGGCATGTAGGTTGAAGTTTTTTGAGGAAATGGCTAAAAGCATTCCTAATATATTACTCTAGTATTATTTCTCCAATTATACATTTTATTTTTGTAAGGGTCTGTTATCTTCTATAAACTGACCATGTAACAAGGTTAGTTACATATATAAAAAAGATTGCTATAGGTATCTGTTGTTAATTGCTAATAACAACTTAATCCAGTACTACTTGACAGAATTGTAACCAACAGTTAACTAACTACACATTATAACTTAATCACAATGGACTAATCCACCATTACATTGGTTTATTATACTTAATAGTATCCCTCATTGGCAAATGAAACTAGCTTGGGCAGCAGCGTCAAGTAAGTTCATCCAAAAAATTATACTACTACATATAAATAATAATAAAACTATTTTATTTAAACCTCTTAATGAAAATTCTGGCTTCTTCACTATACATGGACGGGATAATAAAACAGCTGCTACATACTAGGTAACATGAAGTTCCACTAATAAGTAATATAATGGAATTTAGAATAGCCTGGCTGTTGAGAAGCATAACAGGACACTAGTTTGTTATGCCTCAGGACAAACAAGCAAAGATGTAGATCAGATCAAGATGTTTCCTCATCAATATATCTATAACGTGCATATAATGCCAATAACCATGTTTTTCTTGCATTTTCATTCAGGCCCCATTCTTCTGATTCTGCAGAAAAGATCATGTTGTTGTGTATAGTGATATATAAAGAAGAAATTAAACTATTCTTCTGCACGTTCTCTAACCTAATTAGATCTTAGTTGACACTTCATGAGTAAATCTGATCCGACTGAAACATGGATCAGGAGCCCAAACGGGGATGGATCTGACTCAGATATCATGTATGTAAAGTATGACACTTGAGTCTAACTCAACCCCAACAGCTATGTTGTGAGTCTACTATAACATGATTAAATCTCTTCTATTTACAGGATCAAAATGCATATCTGCTTATCATTTCAGATGTTAGAAAAGTATTATATGGTATATTCTACAATCTATCAAATAGCAATAAATAAAAAATTATGCTTCAAGAGGTTTTCCATGTGGAGATCTGACCCTGAATACATGTTCTTCCCCTGTACATTGATCCACTTTGACGATCCAACGACTCTTTTTCTCCGAAACGCCAAAATCACTGCCTCTCCGTGTCACCAATAAACCTTCTCCTATGGGTAACAAATGAGCATTAAAACTTTCACATTTCCATGATCCCATTCGCAACGCGTTGTACCCTAAAACAATGGCATTATTTCCCCCTATCCTTCGTGCCGTCTTAAAAATGCCTTCACAGTTGTTAATGTTGCAATCAATTACTACACAATCTGCTCTTCTATAGTCATTTACTAGTAGAGTTTTGGCATCTCCGTTAATTACAAATTCAACGTGCATCGCGTTATGTTGTAGAAATTCAATTGATGGATTTAATTTATCGAAGTCGTTGAGGATGCAAATGACTCTACCACCAGTTTGCTGAGCTGCAGCCACAAGGGCTAGTGTGGTGGAATCGGCTGCACCAGCACATGCGACGACCATCAGTTGTGCATTGTTTCCAGCAACAAGTGCTGATATGAATTCTGATACATCTGGCTCTTTAGCACTCTTTCCCTGAAATACAAAAACAATAAAACATTGGAACTTTTGTTGATTGAATTGTAGAACAAATTGTTAAATCATCACTAACCATTTTTATTGCTTTGAGATAGGCTTTGGTTGCACTTTCAGGTGACCAGCATGCCATTTTCTTTCTTTGAAATTGGATGGACTCTTTGGTTGGGTGAAGACTTTGAAGGTTATTGGGCAATATATAGTACTCTTGGAAGGGCAGTAGTTATGAGCAATAAATCCTACTCTTCCGTTTCATATTAGTTGTCACATTTCTTTTAAAATATCATAAAAAGTATTATGGAAAGAATATTTTTAGTAATGTTGACAATTAATATAGAACGAAGCATGTTATCCAACTGGAAAAAAATAAAATTAAAGAATATTTTAAAATCGTGATGAAGGTAATTTTCACTCGATTTGTGTACTAATTAAGTGAACGATTAATTTAGTTTAAATTTTATCAGGGTGCGATAATTGTTTTGGCTCTTCGTTGTGGTGTTGTGAATCAGAGAGACAAATGAAAATTTTAATCCTTCAAGTAGGACTATTTGAACCAACTTGGAAATATCAATTAGTATTATTTGAAGACAAAACTGATAGGAACCATGTTTATTAGTCCTATCAGTGATCCAACAAACAATCGTTGTATTAATTAATCAAGATTCGAGTTTAGTACAGCTTGAATTAATAAATTATCCAATTGGGAAGTGACTGTCCCTTTTTGGTCTTTTGGTGTACGGTACATTATCTTTCAATAAATTAAAGATTTACGTAACTTATAGGAATATTTAACTTCTTGTGACAGATTATCTTATTTTACCAGTAACTAATTTGGCTATTTCTTAATCCTTAATTTCAATTATCGTTCATACACAATGCATACTAGATCTGATTAACTATTTATTTCGCCCTTTCTATTACCTATCTTTATTTTAGTAAGTCTTTCAGTGACATATTTTGATCCTTCTTTTCATTACTTAGAAAAAAGTGAGCTATCCATTCAAGTATTATTATTATTATTATTATTATTATTATTATCGTCTGAACGATTAGATATCCAAAAATAATTGTTACTATTTTATTTTCCCAACATATCTTACATTTATGATATATGATGAAATAGTTTAGGCATTGTGCCAATCTGATGATATGTTGTGGTCTGCCCTGCTCTGCTGCACTAACACAAAGCCATTTTGTTACGTAATGTTGCAGGCCAGCTGTAACATGTCATTCTGGCTACCTAGCAATTATCCACGTACAAATTTCATAAATGTTGGAATAACGTTGATAAGTTTCAAGAGAAAAACGTGAATGCACAATTTATGGGTCTGATTTTTTTTTGGAAATAGTATTGCAGCCTTAGCTTGAAAGAGACAATCAACATGGGTTGGAACTTGAAACTCGATCAATTGCACCAGAGTCAACTTCATTACACCTAGCATTAAAAAGGTTACGTGACTTTCTGAAATTCATATCCTAGTTGTTAAATATTTTGTAATATATAGAAGTCTTAAATTGAACAGAGATATCTATTTATGAAAGAACAAAACTATTATGAAAAGTCATCTTGTAATATGCAAAGGTCTTAAATTGTACCGTATGTTCATGAAAGAACATATAATTATTTTAAAAATTCATATCTTATGTTTTATATATAAATATAAGGACTCTCTAGAAGTAGCAAAAAACATATGTAAGTACATATAAGGATTTTATTGTATTCTAAAGGGAATTGTTTGTTTTTCCCCAATATGTATATAAACAATATTTTTTTAAGGATAGTGATTCTTCACGCTTCAAAGCCATCTTCTTTTATCATTATACTTCCTATTTTTTTAACAGTATTAATTCTCATCCTACATGATTATTTTCATTATAACGACTCTATTATTACTCAGAATTGATGCTCCTAACATAATTGATCACACAAAGTCCAGGTGCCCAAGATGTATTAGGGGTGTCAAAAATGAGCTCAACTATAGGTAACTCATCCAATTCTTTCAAAAATTTATGGATTGGGCTCAAGATAATTTGAATTAGGTTCAATCTCAACTCATTCAAGTCTTAACTCATTTTAAGAGGGGAAACTTACATAAAGATACTATATTAAGAAAAATATTTACCATTTATAGCAATAACATTTTTTTTCACTTGATCATTTTTAATATAGTTTTAATACATATTATAAAGAAAAATTTATAAAACACATATAATACAAGTTTTATTGATGAATAATGCATTTATCACACATTTTAATACAATGTGTCAATTTCTTACCAAACAAGCATAGTATATTTTAAAACAGTTATAATACATATATATTCCATACATAATTCACTTTTAATACATATTGCAGATTTATTATAGTATTGATATGTATTGCTATAAATGGTAATAAATAAAAAATATCACTAAAATCAGTAATTATTTATTTAAAGGTATCCATCCAAGTAATTTTTCCATTTAAGAGAATCCTCAATTGAGCTCAGTTTAATCTCCAATTTCAACCCGTTTTAAGACTTTTTATTTGCATTAATGTAAATTGTAAGGTATGTTCCTATATTGAAGGTATGAATTACTATATATTTTATATCTTTAGGATTTATCTATGTATTTGTGTTTTTTTTTTTAATTTTCTTGAGTTGAAATGCAAATTGGGGTTATAAAACTTAAATTACAATATATTAAAATTATTGAAATTAAGCGGGTCAATATCTAACCCGTTTTAAGCACATTTGAGCCCAAGTAAACTTGGACGGGTCAGGACCCAACCCAATTTCTATTTCAACCCATTTTAGTATCTACAATTTCAACTCAACTTGTCCATTTGACACTCCTGAGAATATATCTACACACTACCCAACTAGGGGTGTCAAATGAGCGGGTTAGATTGAAATTGGAGATATTAAAATGGGTTGAAATGAAAATTGAGTTGGGTCTTGACCCATCCAAATTTACTTTGGGCTTAAAACAGGTTGGGTCTTGACCCGCTTAATCTCTATAACTTTAATGTATTGTTATTTAAGTTTTATAGCCACAATTTGAATTTCAACTCAAGAAAAATTTAAAAGAGAAGTTACAAATGGATAGATAAATCCTAAAAGATATAAAATAGATAGTAATTTATACCTTCAATATAAAAACATACATTACATCAATGCAAATAAAATGTCTTAAAACGGATTGAAATTGGAGGTTAAATTGGGCTCAATTGGGGATTCTCTTAAAATGAGTTGAGGCTTGAATAGGTTGAGAGTGAACCCACTTCAAATTATCTTGAGCCCAACCCTTAAAATTCTGGTGCGGATTAGACGGGTTACCTATAGTTTGAACTCATTTTTGACACCTCTATACACACCTAATTCATGTGTCATAATCTGCGTCACGGACAACTCATGTGGCTTAACCACATCTATATATTATACGATATACATGTAAATTGTTGGTTTGTAGCATATTATTATTAAAATTAAAAAATATGTATATGATCACAAACAAATAAGCTACATGCAAATAGCCAACATGAAAAAAATGCTTATAATATTATCTCTAATATGTAAGTATTCTCAAATAGTGATGCAATAAGCAAAACAACAAAAGTAGACATGGTATATCATAATACCCCGATATAACAATCCATGTATCAATATATGCACTAATCACCTCGCATATATGTAAACATGTTATATCATAATATCCCAACATACAAATATTTGTATCAAAATTCTGGGGATGAACATGCGGGTCCTCATATGGTAAATTTATAAACTGTCTCAAGAAATCTTACCAGCTAAACAAGAATCAGGTTCTTGTCAAATTTGCAAAGATAAAAAAAAGTCGTTTAGCCCTTTCACTTGACAATTCACATTCAATTTTATATGGATAGATGTGTTTAAAGAACTCAACATTATCTGACCTAATTACTGTATGAAAATAAATTTCAAAATTATCGAATTTGTGAACTAAATATTTGTAGCATATTCAATAAAAACACAATCCACAGTTTTCTATCCAATTTTTATGCTTTTGGATAATGGAACTTGTACCTTTTCTAAACATTCTCATACTTTGAAATATTTGAAGTTGAGTTTTCTTCTTTTCCATAGTTCATGGAATAGATTGAATTTTGCTCTGGGCACCCTGTTGAGTATTTGGTTAATCGTAAGAATAACTTCTTCCCACAAGTAATAAAACATTCATCATCTTCTTTAATGTTCGATTTTTCCTTTTTGAAATTTCATTTAATTGTGGTGTGATCATAGTTTGATGAATAATTTTATATTTTGAACATATTTTTGCAAAAAGGAGATTCGTATTCTCCCTCCCTTTCACTTCTTATCATTTTTATCTTTTTGTCCAATTTATTTTCAAACGAGCACTCCTTTCATCCCACGACTTCGGAGAAAAAGTCTAATCTGTATTACGAAAATATTTAGAACAACAACTTGGAGAACTTGGTAAGAATCTACAAGAATATTTTTCTCAAGAAAGAAAATCGAACCCACGTCTAAATGCACAATGTTTTCTTAAGAAAATTATTCCCCTCAAATATCTGAGGTTGATGGAATATATCATCCCATGATTAAATGATCTTACTTACCGATGTATCGGTACCAAAAACTATGATGTCAGCGAACCACTCAATGACAGTAAAGAACACTAGAATTTATTTGTGCACAAGAAAAAGTTCTGAAGTTCAGAAAATTCGTTGTTGAAAAATTTCCTCTATTAATAGACAACAAAGGGTAGTATGAACATGTGATTATTGTGCCTTATAGGAAAATTAGACACAACCCTTTAAAAAAGTCACAACCTTTCAAAAAAGTCACAATCCTTCGAAAATGTTACAACCTTTCGAAAAAGTCACAATGCTTTAAAAATAATATCTCGTACAACTCTTCAGTAAAATCGCAACCCTTTAAAAATGTCATAACTTTTTTAAAAATTCACAATCCTTCATTTTTCATTCACACCTTTTTAAACCTGTTGTAACCTTATAACTTAAACTTTTTTTATCAAAACAAATTATAGATTCTTTAATACCCTATATATAGATATGTTACCACTTGCATTTTGACATTTTGAAAATGTAAAGGGGCAGGGTAGACAAGTTAATTATGATTATTAGGTGATATATTATCTTCAAAGTGACGAGGCATAAACCCTACTGGCCCGTTTGACAATGTGAGATGAAATCATGATACGAAATCATATCAGATAAAGTTGAAGTTTTGTTTGGATATATAATTTAGATTTTGAAATTGTATTTTTGTGAATAAACATAAAAACCCCATAATTGTGAAAATTATCGAAATTGTTTCAATTCTTTATACAATCTAACCAAATAGCAAAAGTTCATAACAAAAGCGTAATAACTATCACAAGTTATTCTAAAAAAATAGAATATACATTGATAGAATTTTAGTTCAATAAAAAAAGTAAAATTGAACATGAATTATAGTGTACTACTCTTTAATAAAATTGAACATGGTCAATAGCATTAGTAACTTTATCATCATGTTCATTTTCCGTGAATATTTCATCACTCCTTTGGTATTCTCACAAAAAAAATATGTAGATATAAAATGATGTTTTTTTATAAAATATAAACTTGTGTGTAAATTTTTGTATTTGAAAAATGTAAAATCATGATATGAAATTTTCAAATCGAGCTTTTCGGAAAATTTAAAATTTCATCTCTTAATTTAAAATCATGAGATGATATCATATATCCAAATGTTGATTTCATCTCATCATTTCAAATCACATGTAAAGAATATTTGGAAAATAATCAAATATGTAAAGAAAATTTGGAAAAAGCTTTCCAAGACATATATAGAAGTGAAAGATCAAAGGTATAAAGCGTGCACAAAAGTTGTTGGATATCTATTAGGAGGCCATAGCTCAAATTGCAAAACATGCATAACAAAAATATCCCATCTATGTACTAACTGGCTTTCCATTATTGTCAGTATTTATAGGAAGTTGACTTAGGTGCCAAACCCACCCAAATTTTGATCCTTCCTAAATTTATTGAGCTAATATAACTACTTCCTTACTGTAATTATCAACAACATAATATAATTATCTCCGTTCAATTACACTCAATTCTCTATCAATCGAGTAATTAATTGGCCAAACAAACAGATCAAACTATGTAAAATTAATTATCCTTATGTAGATTCAAATCTAATTCTATGAGACTTTCCAAATAGGCCTTTAGTGTAAGACCACCAGGTCCAAAAATTAAGTACATTCTTAAATTTCATAGTGAATGAAAGTAACAAATAAAACAAAACAAATAGAATACATATAAGGCCTTTTGCTATGATTTTACTTTAAGCCATAAATTTTATTGAGCAGGCTAACTTATAGATAGAAGAATTGTCTTTTGCTATCATTAATCCTATTGGTCCTATGTATGAAAATATCATAAATGTTAATGTCCATACATTATAAATGACACAACATTTGGAGAAAGAAGAAGAAGAAGAAGAAGAAGAAGAAGAAGAAGAAGTTGAATCCTCCATAGAAAATGGAAACTCAAGAATGAATAAAGTTTTTCTAATCATTAACTGTATAATTCTAACTATAGGAACTTGTGGTGCCCCTTTGATCATGCGTCTTTACTTCATCAAAGGAGGCAAAAGAATTTGGCTATCATGCTGGCTACAAACTGTTGCTTGGCCAATCAATTTCATCCCTTTAGCCATTTCCTACTTGTATCGTCGCAATAATAATAATAGCAGCAAGCTCATTCTCATGACTCCCCGAATTTTCATGGCCACTATTGGTATCGGAATCCTACAAGGACTTTCCAACTATTTCTATTCTTATGGCGTAGCCAAATTACCCGTCTCCACTAACGGACTTCTTATTTCTACGCAACTTGCTTTCATTGCCTTTTTTGCCTTCATTATTGTGAAGTTGAAGCTCACTTCTTACTCCATCAACTCCGTATTTTTGTTGACGATTGGTGCAGTGGTTTTGGCCCTACACTCCGGTGGTGATCGACCGGAGGGAGAGACGAATAAAGAGTATATATTAGGGTTTATCATGACCCTAGCATCTGCTGCATTGACTGGCCTTATTTTTCCTTTGGTGGAGTTGATATATAAAAAGGCACAACAAGCAATCACTTACACATTTGTATTGGAGTTTCAAACAGTGTATTGCTTTGTTGCTACTGTGTTTTCAACTATTGGAATGGTCATAAACAACGATTTTCAGGTCATTCATTTGCTTACTCTCTATATTATAGTTATACGATCATGTTACTTCTAAAATAATTATTACTTTCACAAGTATTACTCGATAACATGATAAAATTATTAACCAATGTAATTATCTAGTTTATACTATATTGATAGCCTAAAAAAACACTTAACTTCTATACACCAATAGAGAGGTAAAAATAAGTTTACGATAACTTATGTTGTTCGAACTCTTCAAAAATGTCAACGAGTGCTTGTTGGATTCTCCAAAATAATTGTTATTACTAGTGTATAATGGCGTAAAACATATTTTGCAGGCAATTTCTGGGGAGGCAAAAGCATTTGAACTTGGAGAAGGAAGATATTATGTTGTAATAATATGTATTGCAATAGTTTTGCAATTCTACTTCTTAGGGACTATTGGAGTCATCTATTCTGCTTCTTCTTTGGTATCTGGCATTTTGGCAACATTTCTGCTTCCTGTTAACGAAGTATTAGCTGTTTTTCTTTACAGCGAAAAATTCAGTGCAGAAAAAGGAATTTCTCTTGCCCTTTCTCTATGGGGATTTGCTTCATACTTCTATGGTGATTATAAAGAGAACAAGAAGAGAAAGAATGATCAATCACCGGAAACAAAAACTATTGATAAAACTAATTATACTCCGTGACTAAAAAGGGTTCTTATAAGTACATGACAAGGTTAATACAAACTTGTAGTAAATATATAATTATATTAGGGTGGATGTCTATAACTTCAAGGTGTAGTTCCATTATTATGTGTAGAAATACCCATACCTCAACTACGTCCTCATTGTTCTCCCATACCTCAAAATATTCCCAATATTATCAAAAGGTTAATGTCATGTTTAAGGCAACTGTACGTATAAATACGCCCTTGTACTAGTATAAATAAGGGTATGATAGGTGATTAATAATATACTTAAACACTTTGAAGAATATGAAATATCTCTTCACTTTGCCGTCTCTATATTTCTATTGCTTTCATATATTAGTATTCTTATCTTATTTACTTTGATTTTACAACAAAATTTTTGTATAGTATTATATATAATTAGAATTTGAAGTTTCCTTTGGCTACCTCTGTCTCTATAATTTCGAAGATCGCCAAGAGGATTTGATTTCCTTGTTGATCATTTTGATGACAGTAAGAGGGTCCGATTCAATAGTTGCTGGAATAAAGTTGTGTTATCTCTATTCAGGTTAGTCACAAATACAGAAACAGAAAATATGAAATAGACAGAATGATTTTTAATCCGAGTCCACAAAAATCACTGTGTTTCCTTAAGAAATTTAATCCCCTCACTGTACCCGAGATTGCAAATTAATTCCTCCCAAGATAAAACGGATTAACCTGTTAAAGAAGTAGCGGTACCTCAAACTTCAATAACTTCAGCGAACGCAAGAACAACAACAAGAGCACACACAGACTCAGTCGATCGACAATTTTTTTATGTAAGAAAATGTATGCAGAGAGGAAAAAATTTAAGTTTTAGAAAACCGAAAACGACCTCTTATTTATAGCCATTAGCAGCAAGGAACGCGTCTGTTCACACCCGTTTTTCCCAGAACGTTGTGTCTTTTGGGAAAAGTAACGACTTTTCCGAAGGAACAAATCCTTTCAAACGAATTTACCGTTACACGTGAATTTCAAATAATTAGTTGTGAAATTAATTTCGTTATTTAACTAACATTCTGAATTAATTTATAAGAGAAAAGAAATGAATTAACAAGATTGATTAAATAAATTTTGTCCAAAAAATATTATCAATCAATTACATCATTTGCCAAATCCAATCCAAATCCGAAGCCGAAGCCGAGGCCGAGGCCGAGGCCGAGCGAGCGACGACGACGGCGCGAGGGGGCAACTTCTTCTTAACCCTTTAAGAACTAAAGGAAGTGTTTCCTAATATAAGGACAACAATTTCCTTTCTTCTACCAATTTGGTAAAAATGTCTTTTCATTTGCACTTTGCAATGACTTTTCATTTTCCCTCCAAAATTGGTTCCCATACTTTCATTGGTTCTTCCACTTTCCATTTTCTCTTTTTATTTCCCATTCACACCATGCTAAACCCAAGAATCCCCCACATGAATGGCGAATGGCTATAGTTAAAACAGATGCATGAAAAACTTGTGTGTCTTATAAGTAAGGGTTAATCGCATATGGATAAGTAGGTTTCCCTTTAAACTTTTCGTAGTGAACATATATCGGATATACTCGGTCAATCGGTAGATTTGATATCTTTGAACCGTCGAGCTTTGGTGTATACCTAGACAACATAAGTCACACAATCAACCCTTTAACTGTTTTTGGTTCTCATTGTTTTGTTTGTTTCAACCATGAACACATCTCGATTAATAAGTGCTTAGAGAACTGGCCTTACCGGATTCTCCTTGAAGCGGCTTACACTTCACACTTACATAGGTGATTTCTAAATGTGTTATCCCGTAGATACACTATTTGATATACCCTGTATCAAACTTAGAAACCATTAAAAAGTCATTATGCCTTTATCCTGGTTACGGAACATTGTCTCATCATGAGAATGGACATAAAATAATTTTTAACAATGTTGAACCGTCATCTATGACTTTATTTTATCTCCTTGAACCTAGATCTTGAGATCTCTTTTTATCTCCTTGAACCTAGATCTTGGGATCTCCAGTCTTCTAGGTAGAGTTACCGCCACTATGACTTGTTCTCGTCCATAGTCCCATTCCCGTCGATGATCTCTCAACTCCCTCTCTAGTTAGGCCTTTTGTAAGTGGATCCGACACATTATCCTTTGACTTTACATAGTCAATTGTGATAATTCCACTAGAGAGTAGTTGTCTAACAGAGTTATGTCTTCGTCTTATGTGACGAGACTTTCCGTTATACATAACTCTTCCAGCCCTTCTTATTGCATCTTGGCTATCGCAGTGTATGCATATATGGGCCATTGGTTTGGGCCAAAATGGGATATCTTCTAAGAAATTCCGGAGCCATTCAGCTTCTTCACCTGCCTTGTCTAAGGCGATGAATTCTGACTCCATTGTAGAGCGAGCTATACATGTTTGTTTGGATGATTTCCAAGATATTGCTCCTCTACCAATAGTGAAAACATATCCACTCGTGGATTTCGTTTCAGTTGACCCAGTAATCCAATTTGCATCACTATATCCTTCAAGAACTGCTGGATATTTGTTGTAATGCAAAGCATAGTTTTGAGTGTCTTCTAAGTACCCCAAAACTCTCTTCATTGCCAACCAATGATTTTGATTGGGATTACTTGTGTATCGACTCAGTTTACTTATAGCGCAGGCTATGTTTGGTCGTGTACAATTCATGACATACATCAAACTTCCCAATACTCTGGCATAATCCAATTGAGACTGACTTTTACCTTTATTCTTCGCAAGATTAAGGTTCACATCAATTGGGGTCTTTGCTTTTTTGAAATTCAAATACTTGAACTTTTCAGGTACCTTTTGAATATAATGAGATTGAGACAATGCTAGACCGTTAGGAGTTTTGTGAATCTTAATTCCCAATATCAAATCGGCTACTTCTAGATCTTTCATATCAAACTTACTAGTGAGTATACGCTTAGTAGCTTTTATATTGACAATGTCCTTGATCATTATCATCATGTCATCCACATATAGACATACAATGACTTCCTGATCTGGAGTGTCTTTAATGTAAACACATTTATCACACTCATTGATCTTAAATCCATTTGACAACATGGTTTGATCAAACTTTGCATGCCATTGTTACGGTGCTTGTTTTAGTCCATAAAGTGACTTAACAAGTTTGCATACTTTCTTTTCTTTACTGAGAACTACGAAGCCCTCAGGTTGTTCCATGTAAATCTCTTCATCCAGCTCTCCATTTAAGAAGGCGGTTTTCATATCCATTTGATGGATTTCAAGACCGTATACTGCAGCTAGGGCAATTAACATCTGAATTGATGTAATCCTAGTCACTGGCGAGTATGTGTCAAAATAATCAAGACCTTCTTTCTGTCTAAAGCCTTTGACAACAAGTCTTGCTTTATATTTTTCATTAGTCCCATCATCTTTCATCTTCATTTTGAAGATCCATTTTGAACCCAAGGGTTTGTTCCCTAGAGGAAGATCAACCAACTCCCAAGTATGATTGCTTAAGATTGATTCAATCTCACTATTGACAGCCTCCTTCCAAGAGGTTGAGTCGCTAGACAACTTTGCTTTCTTGAATGTTTGAGGCTCACTTCAAGAAGGAATGTTACAAAATTAGATCCAAATGAAGTAGTTGTCCTTTGACGTTTACTGCGCCTTGGACTCTCTTCATTGGTTTCATTCTCTTTTGGTTCTTTTTGAGGTTGTTTAGACCCTCCACTAGATGACTCAAGTCTAATTTTATACGGATATATATGTTCAAAAAATTCAGCATTATCTGATTCCATTACCATATTATCATGAATATCCGGATGTTCGGACTTATGAACCAAAAATCGACATGCCTTACTATTTGTGGCATATCCAATGAATACACAATCCACAGTCTTAGGCCCTATTTTCACCCTCTTAGGTATAGGAACCCGGACTTTGGCTAGATACCCCCACACTTTGAAACATTTCAAGTTGGGTTTTCTACCTTTCCATTTCTCATATGGAATAACATGTGTCTTCGTATGAGGCACTCTATTGAGTATTCGATTTGCTGTAAGGATAGCCTCTATTTTATTTAAAAATATTGTTTGGACTGGTTTTAAGAGTCGCCACTTAATTTTTAAGAAAAAATTAAGAAAACTATTCATTTTTCAAATAGATCAAAACAGTAAATCTATTGAAAATATTTGTAGCCTAGTGGACTGCCCAGTTGACCAGCCTTTGAGTAATCCCACAGGAACAGACGGGCAAGGGGAAGATTTTTAAAGTTACGACTTTTAGGGTCAACTTCAAAAGATGATATCTTTTAGCTCAAAACGAATTAGGTGGGCCATTACCTATCCTATGAAAGGTCTTTGAGTCCTCTTTCCAACGCCACCGAGTTTGCCCAATTCCGACCTCGGAGTAAAAAGTTATGCCCAAAATATTGAAGCACTGCCAGGCTACAAAAAAGGACGAGCTTAAACGGGTTTAGTGAAATTTTTTAAGTTAAGACTTTATGGGTCCTTAGTCCTTTTCCAAAATTGACCCTATGCTATTCTATTCCTTTCCTATCAATTATAAAACCCTTTTAGACAATTCTTCCATTTTTAAGTCACTAGAATTAGAATTAAAAAGAAATCCTCTCAAATATTTCTCTCTACAATCCTCTATTTAAGAAGGTCAAGAACTTGGAGCTAGGGCTTGGTTTGAAGGTGGTTTTTGTTGGAATGTATGCGTCCACGTTTTATATGGGACCAGGTCCTCAGCACAGTTGCACTAACAGAAAATAAACAAAGTGCTGAAAGTAAAGATTGCACAACAACTTTACGTGGAAACCTCCTTGCTCAAGGGAGTAAAACCACGACCTGGCCTGCCAGGACTTTTCAAAACTTCTTTCACTAATCTTCTCCAAGCAAAAAGCAAAAGCAAAAGCAAGTTTACAAACCAGGATTAACCTACTAATCCCAACTCTAAGCAATACCTCCTATTACTTAGATGAGCCAGAGCGGACACAACACCGCTTACTA